TTTTATATTTATCTAAATAAAAAATTATATTTTTTCAAACAAAAATAATAAAAAGACTACATATAGAGCAAAGAAGTTTATATTGACAGGCTTTTTCCACTTAAAATATAATTTTTTTTACAATAAATATATTGATTATTTAAGAATTAAAGTCGAGTTGCTTTATAAAAGAAATTTTATGAAAAAGTTTCACAAAATCCACTAAATTATCTAAATAGTGGGATATTATATTATTGAAAAATAGGAGTTCGTGTTATCAAAAGTTTTTCGTTAAAAGAGATTGCTATAGACAAAAAAACGTCTTTTGTTTGAGATTTTGAGATTTTGAAAAAAGAGTTTGACAAATACTTAAAAAAAAACAAAATACAATAATATTTCATGGTGATAGATAATTGTTTAAAATTGATAGCAAGCGATAATTTTCGATTTAATTTAATTAGGAAAACATGTATATATCAACATTTATAACATGGAAAAACATGTACATTAATTAAATGGAAATAAAAAAATTAGTTAATAAATATATTTTAAAAATTTATTTGTAATTAAATTTTACTGGAGAAAAAATATATAGCAATTATTTATTAATGTAAAATCATGAACTTTTTATATATAGTAATTAGTATCTTTATTAACTTTAGAGCTTGTTCACATAAATTTTTCAGTATTGATATTTTACTTGAATTAGGTTAATTTAATTTAGTTTGTGCTTATTTAAGTGGAAAGATTTAAGAGAAAGTAAGTGAATAAACTCAAGGAGATTTTAAAATAAAATATGTGTTGTTTTTTGACGAATTTTTGAACTAATCTAGAATGAATCTAAAAATAAAATTTATAAAAATTTGTATATAATTCGATGATGGGATAAATAAAAAAATATTTTAATAAATAAAAAATATAAATTATTAAACGGTAATATTGATATAAAATAATATTTATTAGAATGTATTTTTTGATAAAAAATATTTTGAAATATTAAAACTAATAAAAATAATAAATAATTAACGATATATTTTATTTTTATTATTATCATTATTATTATAGTCATTATAATTATTATTGTTATTTTCTGGTGTGTTCAATTTTATAAACAAAAAAAAAACTATTTTTCAGTCATGTAAAAACATCACTGTCCAATAAATTATTTAGTTAAATCAACTCAACTTACTTAAACATGATTGAACGGACATAATTAAACTTAAGTCGACTTTACTCATAAATAAACTCAGCTTAATTAGATTGAATTTGGTCTTAGCTAAAGAAACCTAATCTTAATATGTTTAATTAAAAAATTAATATTTACCAAATTTATCTGAAAAAATAAATAATTTAAAAATAATGTTTCATATATTTAAATGTTTAATAAATTATGAAATTTATCTGAAGAAAAGGTAAGTAAATTTCAATAGTGATATGTGATTACATGTTACATGTTTATGATTTTCTAGTAACTACTAATACATATTTAATTACAACCAAATTATTAACAGAACATGCCCTGTATAAAATAGAGACGCATGGTTGATTAAGAAAAATAGACACAATTGTTACTTTTTAATATTAAATTAACGTTGTTACATATTTAAATAATAAACACTGATTAAATAAGATGCAAATGCAATGCATATTTGAATTTCAGTTTTAAAACTTTTTACTATATATAATACTGTGATAGGGTTGTTGGAGCATATTATTACACAGACAGCATAGGCGAATTAAATAAGAAAGCGTGTAATTTCAGAAAAGAAAATAATTTTTATTAATCCTTATGAACTTTATCTTATCATATCATATCACACTCTATCATCAGACTCAACATTTCGCTGTTCTTCTCTTTCTCTTATCTTTGACATGAATACTCTTTCATCCACGCTCCATGGCGCGTGCGTTCCCCTTCCGCGAGCAGCGTCGCCGCCGTTGCCATCTCCCAAATGCCACACAAGATTTCATCGCGTCAAGGCTTCCATTGCCGTTGAGCAGCAAACTAAGGTTGCTCTTATCAGAATTGGCACCAGGGGAAGGTATCCTTTTTCCTCTTTTCGTAAACCCTCAATTCAATCTGGGCTTCGCCATATTTTCAAAGGTTTTTCTGTAAACATGAATGTTTTCTCCTTATGACTCACCGATCCTGTACAATTACTCCACACTTCACCTACTCTATGATGCTACTTTTTATTTATTTATTTATTTAAAGGACTAAACTCCCTATTCCATGTGATGATTTTGTCATTTTCTTGCCATTGGAGTGGGTGTGTCAGCTTAATATGTAGTTCTTCTTTTTTCAAGAAAGTGCCTCTGTCATTGCGGAAATGTCTATTTTTTACTGTGGTCTGATGTTTCTGTTATTTTCGTGGGGTTTTTAGATGTTGTGGTGATAGTTCTTAAGGGAATTCAACGATAGATATTATTAGAGAGCTTTGAAGGCTTCAATCTCTTAATGGAAAGTGTAGAAAGAATTGATGTAACAATGCATATATGCGATGTTTGTAATAATCTTGGTGAGGTAGACTTGATTCGACACTGAATTAGATTCTAAAGATGTTGAGCTAGACTTAATAATTATTTGGGAAGAAAAAGGAATATGTCTATTATTCTGATATGAAGGTTCATATTTATTCGTTACTCGTTTTTGAACTATATAGAGATATCTAGGCTCCTAAGGCCAGAAGTTATATTTGTGGGAATAAAGGGGAGGGGGAAATCAATCCGTCTTCTCTTCTTCTATGGATTTTTGTAATTATTTTTTCCATTTTTTTGTAATTATTTTTCAAAGTGCTACCATCAAATTGGGTAATTCTTATATGTTTTTTCATGTGTAGAGCAGTCCACTAGCTCTAGCACAAGCATATGAGACCAGAGACAAACTAATGGCATCACACCCAGAGTTAGCCGAAGAGGGGGCTATTCAGATTGTGATAATTAAGACAACAGGTGACAAGATCCTCTCGCAACCACTTGCAGACATAGGTGGGAAGGGTTTGTTTACAAAAGAAATAGACGAGGCACTCTTAAATAGTGAAATCGACATTGCTGTCCATTCAATGAAGGATGTTCCCACTTACTTACCTGATAAAACAATTCTTCCGTGTAACCTCCCGCGAGAGGATGTTAGAGATGCATTTATATCCTTGAGTGCAACTTCGTTAGCTGATCTCCCCCCTGGAAGTGTTATTGGTACTGCTTCCCTACGACGAAAGTCACAGATACTCCACAGATATCCATCCCTTAATGTAAGCTATCTTTTTACTCATTTTATTTAACAGCCTGAAATAAAGAATTGTTGTTTCCTACTTTTTTTTTTACTTAATTAGCTTACTTAAATGGATATCCCCAGTATAAGATTTCTAATTCGCTTTTCTGACCGCAGGATGTTATCAAAGTTGTTGTTACATACATTATCATTATAATGTAAAAAGATAGAAAATTATGGTTAATGAGAAGTCATTTGAGGTTTCAATCTCTATTTTTAAGGTAAAATAGAAAAGCAAATTGACAAATAGTCATGTTATAATTGTGTACGGTGAAGCTTATACACAGCAGTTGAAAAGAAGCACTTTGCATCTCTCCACATTTTGAAAAGTAAAAGGAGTTAATAGAAGTTAAATAATAAAATTGGGTGGCTTGCCTAATGCAATTAGGCAAGGGTAGTTTGAAGAGCGTAGTTATAGGGATACAATAGAGATCTATGGAGGAGATTATTGGGACAGCAAATAACACAAAAATGTGTACACCAAAATTCCATATACCTTTATATATTGTTATAGATATCAATTTTTTAAAATGCTGATGGAAGTATGTAACATAAACTTGATTCACTTCCTATCATAATATATATTTTACAGCTGATGTGATTTATGCATTGTGATCTGTGATCGAATAATATAATGTGATATTGAAATCCTTTGTGGATGGTTGAATTTAGTAGATAGTTATCATTAGTATGCCCACCTTGTTGACATGGACTAACAATTATGATTGGAACTTGTGACTATAAAGTAATTGGCAATATGTCATCCTTGTGAGCCTTACTCTGGGTTATGGCCACTGTCTTTGTCTACTTTAAAATTTGGCCTTCTTAGAAAGTTATAGTCTTTGTTCTCTTGCAGTTTCAAATGGACATTTTTTGTGTCTTTCTCGAAACATTTCCTTTTTCTGTTCATGTTGTTTAATTGGTCTTGTGTTACTTCATGTGTGAAATTTTAAATTTCTATATCTCTGATAAATTGTTATGGAATTTTACGACTCAGGTGCAGGAAAATTTCCGGGGCAATGTTCAAACAAGGTTAAGAAAACTCAGTGATGGGGTTGTCCAAGCCACACTATTAGCGTTAGCTGGGCTCAAACGCTTAAGCATGACAGAAAATGTAACTTCAATCCTATCAATCGATGATATGCTTCCAGCTGTTGCCCAAGGTGCTATTGGAATAGCCTGTAGGAGTGATGACGATAAAATGGTAAGTGATTAATTTAGTGCACACAATCGTGCTAGACTAGCTGATATTTATGGGTAAGGGATGAAGATAACAGTACTATGTAAGATCATATGAGCGTGCATCATTAAATACCTAATAGCAAAAAATCATTCTCAAATCACAAAAGGAATTGATTTATATTTGGAATCAGAAGCATTTAAGCATAATTGGATAATAATACTTATTTACATTGCACCTTGCATTATTGACTCATTTTAGATTCTCAGTATTTATGACTTTTGGTTGAGTGATTTCATCAGGCAGAATACATTGCTTCCCTGAATCACGAAGAAACAAGACTAGCAGTTGTCTGTGAAAGGGCCTTTCTTCAGACATTGGATGGGTCTTGCCGAACTCCTATTGCAGGATATGCTAGCAGAAACGAGGATGGCAATTGTTTGTTTAGAGGATTAGTTGCTTCCCCTGATGGAACCCGTGGTATGAAAATCTAGTCATATATTTATGTTATTTGACTCTGTAAAAGTTTCTAATCCTTAACAAGTAACTTTTCTCTAAGCTTCCCTGCAATTTTCTGTGTGCAGTACTAGAGACGTCCAGGGTTGGTCCATATGCTGTTGAAGATATGATTGAGATGGGTAAGGATGCTGGAAAGGAGCTTCTGTCTCGGGCAGGACCTAACTTCTTCAGTAGTTAATTAACTGTGGATTAAGAGTGCGGCTACTCACAGGTTTCATGGTCAACTTTCGGATGATTCATTCTTTGACGTTTTGTAGCTTTAGAGTAGATTGGGAAAGTGGACCTAAGGGTCAAATTGTTGTATTTGAGGATATTAGAGTGACAAATATTTAGGTAGTTTGTATAATTTCCACGATAGTGGACTTTTGAGAGTTCATGCTAAACACCACCGGTGTTCCTCAAATTTTCTTATATTTTATATAATGCCTTCTTTACAAGCCACTCTGAAATAAAAAGTTAACATAAGTGAACGAAGTGATTGCGTGGATCTGCGAAATTTTGAGTCCAATCCAAGGTCCAATGTTATAACAGTTACTGGGCTGTCCCTTTTTTCTATTTGCTCAATAGTTTACAATATGTACAAAATTTTACAATCAATCAATTGACTTAGACCAATATTAGATTTGTTCTAAGTTAAAAATCATATTATGGGCTAAAGTTATATATATTAACCGTAATAATGAAATCAAAAGTGAAATTGAAGCCTTTAACATGGGACAATAGTAAGGACTTATGCTTCCTTCAACGTTAAGCAAGCAATTATTTGGTTCCTTACACAATAAGGTTGCAATTAGTATGTGGTGAATAGTTTTTGAAAAAGTAATAAAATCCATTGTTTATTGTAATCCTACAATAAGTTTGTTGAGTATAATTACATAACCAATTATTACAATACCAATGAGTTTGTTGTTGAGCAGAAACTGTGATCTATATTTAGGACAGCATCCACAATACCAACGAAGGAATATTTAAAATTTTTGCAACATTTTATAAAAGGGATAATATCTCTTTTAATCTAGTATTTATAACAATGATTCAATTGTTTGTTTTTGATTTTTTTTTACTCAACAAGGTGTCGATATTTATTAGAAGATTTAATGTGGTTATTTTTTGTTAGAATAACGTTAATGTGGATGTATCGTTCTAGTAAAAATTGCTGAATAAAAAAAAAGAAAAACATAATGAACGATTGTCATAGATACGAGATCAAAAGAGGTATTAATTCTTTATAAAATCTTAAAATTTAAGACCATTTATTAAAGTTGGAAAAGACGAAGTTTGATTTTTTATATTTTTGAAAAAATTCACACAAGTTCAGACAAAATTCTGAAAAAAATAAGGTCTTTTGAGAGGGTGACATAAAAAGGAAAAAGAAAAAAAAAAACCAGTGTCCACTCTTTAGAAATTCTCATGTAATAATTCTTGAGTTCTTTCTCTGTCCAGTGGAATCTAACTCAGTCTTTCCATGTCACCACCAAATATTATTTTCGGGTTTTGTTAGATATCGATTCTGTGATTATCATCTACCATTTTTATAAGTTAAATATTATTGGCACTAATAGAATGTAAAGGAGTGAGTCGTGGATGGTGATGTATTCAATGTCATTTTCTTGGTGAATTGGTTCTAAAGAAAATTGGTGGCATGTGGGCTAAGCTGCAAATTTTCAGTGGCTGAAAGAAAACCCCCTTGTCATTCTGATACGATATTTTGATGACTTTATACTGAAAGAGTCCAAAAGTAGAATAGGAATAGGAGAGGAGCACCATTTATATGATAGGCATCTCATGAGATGAAACCAATTCATGGAAGCACAACCACTGATCACAGTATTCATAAAGTAGCCTATGCGTCATATCAACTTTTGGTCCGAATCAAGAATCTTAACAAATGTTTCACCACTATTCTTCACAGTCATGCACACAAACCAAGATAATCATAAACTAAAAATAAAAATGAAGTGTTGAATATGTTTTTAACTCCAAATGTTAGATACATTGTAGTCTTATAAAATATAAGAATGACATGTATTGACCAACGATAAAGTCAATTTAAAATACATAAGTAGTAAATTTCATTTTACAAATTCATTTTATGTGATTGAATTAAATTTAAAGTTTATTTCTTAACATGATGATATCACAATCATGAATTAGAACCTATTCTAACAAAAAATTTTGTTTGTTTTGTCTAGTGTATCACTTACTATAGATTTTTTTGAACCATTTATTGATGCTTAGTTTTACGTTTAATATATATATATATATATGTGTGTACATATATATATGTATGTATATATACATACATATGTATCTAGATGCATATGTATACCTACATATCTATACCTACATATCTATATATATATATATATATATATATGAGGAGAATATACTGAAAGTCTTATACCTATTAAAAATAAGACTACTTTAGAGTAGAAATTTCACTTCTGAATGTAGAAATTAAAAACATTTTAAAAAAATAAATGACACAGCTTTTAAGTGTATCAGTAATACCGTTATAACTTTTCTTGTAAAATATATCCTTTTTCTTGAGAAAAAATGTATGCATTGAATTCTAAAGATAAACCGGGTGTCTGAGTTCAAATTTTGATATAAAGAGATATTGGTGAAGAAAAAGAAGATATGTTAAAAGGGAGCCAGAAATGAATGAAAGCATATGCGAAAGACACTTCCACCACTAGTGTAATTTGGTATCAATAATTACCTCCAAAGCTGAGAAACTGAGGCCATGTATGTTCTGCTATTATCTTGTGGTGATTCTAGAGGTAGTAGTGATTAAATTCTAAGAATCATAATAGTTGTATAGTAGTAGTATGGTCCAACAATTATTAAACCTTCCCTTTCTCTCTTCTTTTCGTCATGGCGACTTCTCAAATTGACGTCCCACATAATAAATTCTCTTGGTCTTGGGGACCATGACAACAGTATTTTCCATGAAGTTTGGCCATGAACAGATAACGGCGATATTCGAAGTTATTGAACAAAATGGTGCATTTGGGGTACAGGTACTTCAAAAAGAACCAAACTGGTCGTAGAGCAGCTTACAAAACAAAACAAGTATTTATGTTTGGTTTATCTCTGCTCTTTGTCTGGCTTGGTTTCCAATGACAACATCACCATGCCAATATTCCATTTGATATATGCCATCTGGGGACTTTTGTCTTTCGCCTGCTTCTTTATGGTTGTGATTTGTGCTTCATGGTGCCCATATCAAAATTTCCAACAAAGCAATCAACGATTTGAGCAGAAAACAGATAAGTTTTGGGTGTTCAGTGAGCAAACTGAGAGATGGGTTGAGGCAAAACTTCCCTATGATCTTCTCTCTTGTGTTGACGGTGACTGTAGAAAAGTGGGGTCAATACTTCAGACGGAGAAGAAGACCACACAAGAAGAGCTGGACCTTGAAGACAAACTTGATGAAGAAAAGACAAGTGATGAAAATAAGGATAGTAAAATGGAATCAGAGGCTGTGGTTCTACCACAGAGGAAGAGAATTTCCTTGACTAAAATATCTGAAACATCTGTGTGGGTCAGTGGTGAAAGTGGGTCAATCTATGAGAGGTTTTGGAATGGAATGGAATGGGTGATTGTCTCTCATGATTTGCCTGTATCAGCAGGAAGTGCTATATCAGTTTTTGTCATCAATCAGACGATTCTTGCTCTATCAGAAGCAGGGAAATTATACCAGGTAAAGAATTATCCATTAAGTTAAAAGATACATGCCATGAATCGTATGTTAAATATTATGTTAAGATTCAGCTCTTGGATAAGTATTCAATGCAAAATTTGTTGGAAATTGAAACTGCAAAAATTGGCCTTGTCTCATGGATTTTGCTATGCAGATAAGAGGCCAACATGGTGAAAGTTCTGAACCAGTTTGGGTTGAATTCACACCTACTTATCCTGAGAAAAATCTTCTGATAAAGTCTGGAGTTGCTTCGCGTGATGGACAGTAAGTGAAGTTTTAATTTCTGAGATCGAACATATGCACCTTGATCATTGCTAATGCAGTCTCTTGATGTCTCTTGTGTTGTTGCATTGTGGAGCAGGAGAGCCTATTTCTGTACAAAGAATGAAACACTAGTAGAACTTGCTTGGGTTGAGCCCCCGAGGTAAAACTCAAGTTTTGGTGAAAATCTTAGTAACTAGGATGTTAAATCCTAAACACTATCCTTTAAAAAATGGATTCCAGGGTATTGCTAATTTCACGTCAATCTTGACAATATAGAACAGATGGATAAATCATGGCCAACCAGCTGGAGCAAATGTAGCAGCAATAGCTGATGCTGCTTCAACAAGAGAAGTAGTATATACCATAAGGTGGGTGGTTCGTGTTTATTGCTTGAGGCACGTTTGTTTCAATTTCATATTTGATAAAGGGTCTCTGATCAGTGCTATGCCTATAAACACGTTGATCAAGGAGTCAACAAGTACAAAATTTGAAGTTGGTATTGCATTGAAAACTGCAGTAGAATGTTTGTTGCACCATATAAATATAAAGCCTTAGAAAGCATTATTATTCATTACTCTCTTTTAAGGTCTTGTTTTTTTAGTGAGAATAAAAAAGTACTCTTCATCTTTGGATTCTGACATACTTAACAAATGATGTGGTGCTGTAGTTCTGCTGGAGATCTTTACGAATATGACAAAAAATCGAAACCATCATGGAAGAGGCACATATGGCAAGATAAAACATCACAAGCTGCTCCTTTGATGCCATCTAAAGGGTGCAGTTTGCCTGGTTCAAGTGATGATCATTCCGAATCTCTGTTCCTTTTAACAAAGGTCTGTTTTATGAAGTTTATAGTCATTTGCAGAAATAAGTGCCACCAAGACTTCTTTTAGAAACATCAGAAAATTGTGAACTTCCCTCTTTAGACAGTTTGCATAATGGAATTTGGTTGAGGAGAAAAGTGACCAAGGAGAAGCTACATTGAATTTTTTAAAAATGGAATGACTTTTAGCACATCACTTGAACATGGATAACATTGCTTTTTGATGAATTTATTCTGATCAGTCTAGGAGGGTACCATTTTTTTTAAAATACTTTGTTGATCATGCAGGAAGGCTCTTTGGTAGAGAGAAGGTTCCATCAATGGAAGTGGAAATGGGTGGTTCATGGAAGACCCCAAGATCAAAACTTAACATCTATTACACCAGCTCTACAAGATGAATCAGCTGAAACATCCTCCATTTCTTTGTTCTTCACTACATCATATGGATTTGTCTTTGAATATCGAATTCCAAAACAATTAGGTCAGTCATCTCATGTCATAATGCAAGAACTGTTTTAGTTTCCATGTCTGGTTATTTTCTCTGCTATATCAATAGCCTACCTTGCTTTTACTACAGATGAAGAGAAACACAACAACTTTTGTATTTGTTGCATAACCATATTGTATTTCATACTCTGAATCATATTGAAGGCCAAATACAAGAGAAATGATAACTACTCATACTCATACATGTTAAATAAAGATCATGTACCAACTACTACTTTTAGAATACAGTCCGTAAATCCATAACTGAACATCATCACTTATACAACCAAACTAACTGAAATAAATAAACATAATTACAGCAGCAAGAACAAGAGTTTTAAAGTACATTAATTTAACATTTCCAAATAATGAATTTCCAGAAGTATGGAAAAGTCACCAGCATCCTCTCCATGCAAAGGCAGCAAGAGGTATAGCAGGTTTACAATTGTACGTTGGCAGAATACTGTTTCCACTAGATGATGGAAGACTTGCCGAATTACATCCTTTAGGACTAGGTGGTGAAAGTTCAGGACCATCTCAGCCACAAAACATCCGAAGGAAATCATCAACCAAATATGTTTGGTCAATAGTAGATGTGCCAGAGAGTGAGGGATGGAATGCAGAATATTGCACAGAGGAACGTGGCCTCAGGAACTGTCTCACTGGCATAAAAGATGAGTCAGAGGAATCAGTAGTAAGTTCAGTAACAGGTAGGAGAAAGCAAAACCAAGCACAGAATCATTATTTATCTGTGAGTACTTCAGGTGTTAGACTGATTCAAGCTTCAGAAGAATACAATCATGTGCCAGATAACTGGATTAGTAGTAACTTTCGCTTGAGATTGATGGATGTAGGGAAGTCATTTTTCTTAGTAACAGACGATGGTTTGGTTTTTGAATACATTTGCATTGAGAGTGCATGGATATGGCTGAGGCATGAGAGCTTTACACCTATGAAAGGTATATTGAGTAGCTATAATGGAAGCTTATTCATGGTTGATACACATGGGAGTCTGCTCCTTAGAGAAAGAAGAGGCAAGGAGTTAGCATGGAGGAATTGCACTGCTCTGAGGAGAGGACAAAATATTGTTGGAGGTCAACCTTGGGATGGATTACCAGGCCAAGAAAAGAAGGTTACAAATGAAGACACACTCTTCTTTGTGAGCAAAACTGGAAGACTAATGAAGTTAGTGGTAAGTAAACTCTAAAGAATAGAAGAACAGTATCAGAAAATTGATCCTGCTGCAGTATTACATAAGTCCATGGATTTTTCTTTTTTAAAAAATTAAGTTTATATTTAATTGAAATTCTTTTGCCGACCATATTCATATGGATAGAATTACTTGGGAATAAATTCCTGAGACATCAGAATCAATCACAGCACCAAAAGCCAGATATGCAATAATTGGTGAAGTAAATATTATGCATAATTTTCCCAGGTTTCTTTGAAGAAGTTGAAATGGAAAGATTGCAGAAACCCTCCAGATGCTAAGGTTGCATGTATACTAGACCAGGAATTGTTCAGAAAAAATATAGTATTTGTCATTGGAAGAAATGGTCGCCTATATCAGTACAACAAGGTGACTGATTTGTGGCATGAGCATTACCATTCTCAGCATCTGGTTCTATCACAGTCTCCTGGAACTGTTATAAGATCATCATTAAAATCACTCTCAGGTTCCCTCTTCATGGTTTCAAAAGAAGGTGGCCTTGTTGAGTATCAATGGAGCTCAATGTATGGTTGGAACTGGGTGGAACATGGAACACCCAATAGAGATGTAACACTAGTAGGTTCACCAGGTCCAAGCTTTGAAGGCAATCAATTATTTTTCATTGGTTCTGATGGAAAAGTATACCTCAGATACATGGACAAAAAGTCATGGAAGTGGAAGGACTGTGGTTTCCCCCATGTAGGAAATAAACTGATTGAAGCACACTCACAAGGAGGATTCCAAGAAGAGAAAGTAGATTGCACTGATAAAGATTCTGCATCATACTTGAAGAAGGGCCAAACAAACTTTGGTGACCTGAACATTAGATGTGACTCAAAGGTAAATATTGCAGTCCAAAATAATTTGTAGAATATCTGACATCGAATTTAATGCTAAAAACAACACATCCTAGCTCGGTATTGATTGAGTCTGATACGACACAGGTGGCATCTACAAGACCAATTCAATTTTCCAAAGGTTCTGTCATATTTCAGCTCAGAGATGGCAGGGTAAGAACTCGAAGTCAGTGATGACAAATCATATTTTTTAATTTGGTTTGAATATATGATGCTATCCTCTTACTTAACCTCTAGTTTACAACTATGTCCAACTTGAATATAACTTTTTTTGGCTCAATCAAATTGCTTCCAGTGCTAGCATTTGATTATATGATTTTGAAATTAACATGTATCACTCTTCACTAAAGTTGCTGAAGCTTTTCAACATAGAGCAGCAATATCAGATATAATGAACTTCTTCTGCAGATCTATCAAAAGCCAAAGTTATTAGCCATCATCATCATCATCATCATCTTCATAATCTTCATCTTCATCATCATATTTTTGACAATATTTCTTATGACAGTTGGCAGAAATTCAAATGGTAGAGAAGAGAGAATGGGTGTGGTCCCAGATCATTGCCACTCCAGCTAGTCTTTGCTCAGAGAATTATTGGAGTACTGAACCGTACAAACTTTCATGAATTTAATTCGAATGCATTATTGTTGTGAGAAAGACCTACACCGTCATTCAATTATGCATTCTCACATTATATTAATAAAGAAGAGATTATTTTTCACAGCTTCAGTGATTCAAAACACGAGGAAGTAGCAAATATGTAATGCTATTAATGTGTCTCTCTTTCCATTGCTGCAATAACCTTTGATTGGTGGGGATTGTGATGAACAATAGCCTCAAAAGTCACTAAGGGTCTGTTTGGATTATAGAATGAAAAATGAAGTCATTTAGATTCAAGGAAAATAAGTGGAACGGAAAGAAAAATTTGAAATGGATGTGTAAACTTGATTTTAGCCGTTCTTAATAGATTTTCGTATAAATGGCTGTTAAAGTGAAGTGGTTTATTTTAAAAAAATTATTCTCAAAAACAATTTTTAATACATTTGTAATATTTAGAAATTTAATAAAATTAATTATTTTGATTGGTGTATGTGATTTTATCTAAAGTGTTTTATTTTAAAGACATATAATATTATTTATACCCTTTTGATTATTAGGTTTAATTGATTAGTCTTTATCTTCTATTTAATGAATTTCATATAAAGTTTTTAGTAATATAAAACATATTAAAAGACCGTCATGAAAGTGTCCTATTATACTTCCTCTTGAAACAAATCATTTTATGTTTTCTTGAAAATCGAATCCTCTAACTCGAGCAAGAAAAAATACTCGGAATTACAGAAGTCTTAACCTAGTTAATTTTTTTCCATGAAATTTTTATTCTAATTTTGAAAAAATAATTTAAAGCCCAAATTGTAATTAACGTGCTAAATTAATACTGAAGACATGTTGAATTTTCGTGACATTATTATTTGGTAATTTTTTCGAAGAAAACACAAATAATTAAGAAATTAAATCACAAGTAATTTTAAAATATTTGACTCTCCCAGGTGAAAGATTAGGAAAAATTGAATGAAATTTTGAAAATAATTTTTATAGCGCAAATTATAATTAAACGATTAACTTAAAATTTAAACTAGTGTGATAAACTCAATGCTAAATTAATACTTAAGAAATTTTGAAATTTCTTGTAACCATCATCAGGTAAATTTTTTGAAAAGAAAACATAAATAACAAAGAAGTCAAACCATTTTAACTATTACCCGCGGAAACATGTGTGTCTACTTTTCTTTTTTATTTTAACAAAAGTTTATTAAACTATAAAATAAAATTTATCAAAAATAATTATGAAAATAAATACTTAATATATTTTTAATTATTAAATAGTTTTTATTATAAATAATTATTTAAATTTAGAAAATAATTATTAAAAGAATAAAATAATAAAACAATTATTTTAATTTATAAAATAATTAAATTTAGATAACAGTTATTTAAAGGATAAAAATAGAAATATAATTACTTTAATTTAAAATAACAATTACTTAAAAGGTAAAATTAAAAAAAAATGTTCACAGGAAAAAATATTACTTATAAATGTAATTTGAAAAAGATTTGATTCCTTTAAACTACTATAAGCACCCCAACATTTCAGTACAAAAATGAAAGTGAAGATAGTTTCATTTGGGTAAAAACTTGTAGCCCAATTTTATTCGGCAAAACTGGGCCGAATATTTTGTAAACCATTTTTCCCACTCCTATCTCAGTCAAGTAAACATAATTGCATTTTGCAGTAGAAAACTCAATTCAACATGGAAATGGAATGAAAAGGTTTTGATTTCATCCCTTCTCTTTAGTTTCGTTGACTCCATTGAACAACCTCCGAAGAGGTTCTTGGTGAGCATGTGCAATGTGTTAACAGAAAACATATATGATGGTCTGGCTAATTTTAACATCTAGATATTTGACAATTATCACTCTTTTCTGCATATATTCAGTGTTATTTTTCGTTTCTCTATCTATATCTAATTACTTTTGCATTTGATATATTTTAAATTCTTTGGAGTGAAAGGTTAATACCGATTATCGAGATAAAAATGCAATTTTAGATTAAAAGGAAACAAACAACTTGTACCTGACTTTCAACACAAACTTGAACACCAATTTTGTTCGGCATCAGGCTGAAGTGACAGTGTAAAACTCGATCTTAGTTGGTATGACGCATGTCATTGTCTTCTTGATTAACTCTAAATAGGATCAGTCAAGATCGGTAGTTCGCATCATCAACAAACTCACCCAAGCCAGTTCTAGAGTCTGCTGGATGATGATATATCATACATGTTTTTCTTATTTTTCTTGCTATTTTTATATAAAACACAGAATATCTTGCAATATTACAAGGAATTGAGCAGTAGTAATCTATATTAACCAATCTAATGCTTAAACATGATTTCAGAAACTAGAAGGCAATAACAAACAATCATGCATGCACACTTAAAGAGTGCGAGGAATGGAACTTCAAGTGCCAAAATGTTACAAAACCCATATATTATTATCTCAGTATTAGGAATTTCTATTGCGGAAATATAATTGAGATTCAATTGTCAATCTAATGTTTACAACGTACAAGAAGAAACAAAAATGAAGTACAGGCTGTAAAGTTCAGTCAACTTCATGTGCACGTGCATCTTTTTTCCTATTTGCAATACTAAATAGACCTTTTCCCCAGAACATGAAACCCTTGCTTCTACCAAAATTGGGAACATTGGAACTCAATTCTCAGTTTCAACGGGTATACAAGCACATGCTTTGAAGATGAACGGCAATAAGTCAAAAACTCATTAACTAATTTAATTTTCGTTACTGGAAGATACTTTTTTTCTCCTCTTATGTTTGGGCTTGACGGCATCCTTCAGAGTCTTACCTTCGTTACTCTGTCCACCAGTTAGAGACTTGTCAATTGGAGAAAGATCTGTATTAATTTCCGGTGGTAGTTCCTTGGGCTTAGTCTCATGTCTTGAATCCTTTGGTTTACTAGGAGGAACTGACGGTCCTGCATATTATACAGCTATTCTAATGAGTGGAGACAACATTAGACGACATACACACTGATAAATTGATAGACACCAACTTATCATATGAAATTAAAATGAATCCTAATAAGAAAAAAGCCTAAATAGAAGCAACAGAAGAAAATGATGAATACAACAGAAAAAAGCCACAGATTCCATCACAATTCACATAACAGCTAATTTCATAATTGAAGATGAAAGAGCGGCTATTACCCCGTGAAGCTAGAGAAGCTTTTAGAAGATCTGGATCTACAGACTCTGAGTAGGGATCCCTGAGGAAATGAAGGAACAGTTGGAAAGATATAAAATGCATTTTAATTAAATTTAAAAGAACAAATATATCTAATTAGCATAGATAAAATTAAAAATGGAAGAATCTCAAAATGATATGTTTATGATTTTAAGGAGAGAAAAGTCTTTAAATTCGTGTCTTTAAATTCGTGCAACTCTGTATCAGTAAGTTTGAAATCAAATATAATTATTGCCTCATTGACCCTAAATGATATTGTTGTACCAAGACTCAATTATATGAAGAAATTAATTCATTTTTATGTTTATAAATATAAATTTATTTATGAACCATTTATGAACTTTGATCTTATGAGCAGGCAGTGAAAAACTACCAGACTTCATCCTTGTGATTTGCTACTTTTGCTTTGTCAGAGTTGAATTATTTTTGCAAAAAGAGTAACATGTTACTGATATATATAAATATCACTGAAACAACCTTTTAATATCGATTTCTGTATATCACAATCTCTAACTAGTTTAGTCTATAAGTGGAATCCATGAAACATAAACTCTCGAATTTGACACTATACTTTGTAAGTTGTAATAGTGATTACCAGTTTCATTTTCGTTTATATACAGTGATTAGAACCAACTAGACTATACAAAAATTTCAAATCTAAAATACAATAAAAGGAAAACTATTAGTTCTTGAACTAGCTGATATCATACCAACTTGAAGGTCCACCAGTGAAATTCTTGGAGTTTCCATCCTTACTATGTTCTTGTCCTGATGGCGTGGCTTCACATTCCATAAAATTTTCCTCTTCTTTCAGCTTCAATTTGTCCAAACCGGTACCATCCTCAACTCCAACTAATTGATTTTGTTTTTCACCTATTCCAGCTGGAGCACCACCTACATCCATAGCAACAGACGAAGGGTGCCGCTTAATCTTCCGCAACGCCCTTTCGTTGTTGTGTACTTCAACCTAATCAGAACACACAACAACAACAAGCAATTTACCAAACAGCATAAACTACACAATTAATATTACCCTTAGACTAGTGTAGCAATGTTGCACGAAAGAAAAAGAGAACTCACAGCATCCTTAATCTTAGTTGTAATATCAATAGCTTTAGAATGAGCAAGTTTCAAGCAATGCATGATAAATCTCTGAGATACACCCTCTCCACCAGCCTTCTGAATAGCACAAACGTCGCCGTTTGAATTAAGCGTCGCAGTCATGCGTCCTGTCATCACACACTCTTCTTCATTCGTCGGATCTATCACCTACACACATAAACCCTAAACCCTAACTAAAACCTCCAAAACCAAAATCAGACAAAAAAGAGAAAAAGGAAACCGTACGAGGAGATTTTCAATGCTGAAAAACCCAAACGTAATGGCAATCGGGAGATGATGTATAATCAACGGTATCGGATCGCGCTCTTCAGGAGGATGCACCACCACTTCCTGGCCGTCTTCCCCGGCCAGCGAGCATTCCGGCCGTCGGAACGTCAGCAGTGCAGCCAGCGCCGCGATATTGGCAGCGTCAACGAGATTTCCGGCATTGTCGATAATGTGGATATCGACGCGAATGGCCCATACGAGTTTGCCGGAGAGTACGCAGAGCGATTCAGTGTCGATGGCACGGCTTTCGCGCAGGCCGCGGTCGACGACGCGGCCCAGCTCGACGGCTGACTCCGCTGGGCGGCCGGGTTCGAAGGAGGGGTCGGCCATGGGAGAGAACTCGGTGAAGATGGAGAGGGAGCCTTCGTTGGGCCTGTCTTTGTATGGCCTAACGAGTTGGGCGGAGACGAAGGTGACGACGTGGGTTTGGCCCAAATGGACCTCCGCGGAGCCGTCTTGCTTGGCCAGCTTGATGGTGAGCTTGCGGTGGTCGGAGGGGCGGCGGCCGTCGACACGTAGGTCCGTCAGGAGAGCCGCTTCGATGAATTTGTTGTCGTTGAGAGGCATTCGCCAGCTGTTTGCTAGCCTCTGCTCCATCTCCGATACCTCTGCTTCTCAATATTTGGGTATTAGGGCAAACCTATTCTGAATCACTGCGCGTGGGTATTAGGAAAAGAATACTTTGACACTGTTAAAGGAATTCACATTTGACACGCTGTGGGACCCAATTATTGTGAATGTGAGAAAGGGTATATTTGTGATTTGAGTATGTGGGCGGCTGTAAATGAAACTGTGCGTTTCAGTGATTTGGAGCTTGTGCATTAGGGTCCCGCTCTGATTTCAATTTTTGAAAGGTCCACCGTTTCATTTTGGAAGAGGCAATTTTCGTGCTATGGTTAGGATTGAGAGAGAACGCGAGAAAGAAAAAAAAAGGGAGAACCCATGGCTGCCAACGGAGGCTGGACGTGATCGGAAAAGTTCGTACCGGCGAAGTCGAATTCGAAGGCGAAGTTCGTATCGGACGTGATTGGTGTGGAGCGCGGAAGGTTTGTCCCCTTTCTATTTTCTCCCCTTTGTACTGTTTGAAGAATATAAAAATGAGCTTCTTCTTTTCTCATCATTCTTCTATCTTTCCTTTTATTTTTTATTCATTTTTGAAAACCCTAGTATTAAGCATATGATTTCTAGTATTTTATTTAGTCTCTTAAAATTATCAAGATATGTATAGGTATTTTTATACAAATCCAATACAAGATATGAATTTTTTTACCATTGTATTGTTAAATCATTGGTTGCGCTGAAGATGCAATGGACCTGCGTGTGTAAATGTACCTTTGCATCATCAATAATGCATCGTTAAGAATGCATGGTACATGTTTGTCTTCTTGCCACAGAGACAACCCAGTTTCTTTTCCTTAAAGATTTTACATTGCAGTCCCTTTTGAGCACAATGGTAATGGTTTTACAGATTGGCCTTTTTGACGCTACGGAAAACATCTTGCATTAATTTCTCATGCTCTCGAAGCATGTCATCGAGGTTCCCACCCGGAGGCATCAATGGTCCAGAGTAGTGTATCCTATTTTTCTTCGGCATATAACCCTGAAATCACACCACAACAGGTATATAAAAAAACTGTTATGTTATGTTCCTATTATATGTATCTCAGTTTTACTTTCTTTTAATAACATTGGGTATGAAATATTCGCAACCTTTACTTATGATCAGTCTCCGTAGAAAAGTTGACTTACTACTTTTTGTGTGATCTTCTCTCCTAACTTTGTTTTTAACATTTTTAACATTCACAATACTCTCCAACCTTAAATCTTAAGGTTGTATGGTAGGTTCTGTGACTACTGACAAGGTTGCAAACCAGAAATAAGGTGGTAATAAAGAGAAGTTAGATTGTTGTTTACCATGGTGGATTCAACAGCAGACGAGTCTGGTTCCTTTTTGAGGGCAGAGGTACATAAATCTGCTGTTGCAGGATTCAAATGAGACCTCTGATTCTTCAAAGATGGTTCTACTCTCTTGCTCAATGTGGATGATCCTGCTACACTGCCTCGCGTCATTGTAGCAGCATGCGTGAAGCCACCGTGTACACTTACTCTGCCTCCTTCACCGTTCTCCTTGGCCTCCCTATTCTCCTGGCACAGATATTTTTGACGGCACATTATACTGTTTGGTTTCCTCTGCCAATGTTGAAGTATTCATGACCCCGTCAAATCGAATAAAGTTGTCAATAATAATCAATCTCCATGGAAATATATGTTTAGAAGCATAAACATACCAGCATAGATATATTTCCCTGAGCGTTATACTGTGGCGAACCCAGTGCCTTGGTATCTCCTGCTCCTCTTAAAACCGATGCTGGTGCACGTCCTCTAACAGCTTCCTGGTTTTTCCTGATTGAAAATAAAGGTGAAGTTCTATGAATATGGCACTTTTTATCGCAGCATTAAACGGTACCAACACAACGTTCAATGTAATCTTTAATGGGATGCAAATGTTTTAACACAGTCTTGGCTTCCACTATAACATGTATCTCCATCAGAGTTTGGTCACTGTTATTATATGGTTATGTTACTTTGTAGAGAAATAAAACTTTTAATACCTTGTAGCTTCCTTTTGTCGACGCTTGGAATCAAACTCCTTGCTTGGTGAAAACTTTGGTAAACTTGAGGGTTCACAAGGTAAGGGGTTTGTAGTGAAGAACTAGCAAATATGTAACATGAATATAATATGATAAGTAGGATATCCAAAACAGTGGTAGTAAATAGAGCATCATCACTTTGAAAAACTACAGTCAGAAAAGCCTTAAAGAATGTAAGGGGGGAAAAAGTCAGTTGGGGCTCTTGAGTAAAATTCAAAACTTTTAATAGCTGTCAGATGTTTTCATTTAATAAAGCACTAAAAGTGCTTATATAACAGCATAAAAACAGGATTAATTTCCATGTAAAGTATGTCTGAAAAATAAGAATAAAAGGCTTCACAGCATTACCTCACTCTCGAGTGCGGAAGTTGCTGATCCTCGAGCCTCTGGTTCTATTGTCAGAAGCTTATCAACAAGAGCCAATGCCGGAGAAGAAAATTTTTCAAATGTTTCTGAAATTTGGCGGTTGTAAGTGTGTTGTGGCTTAAAACTTGTTGCATGAGGAAATTTTGTTCTCTGCCAATAGTCTTCAGATGGTGAACCACAAAGTTTAAAAATTTTGTGCATTTGTTCCACCTGCATAAATTAAATCACTCTCAAAGTTAAATTGCAACTCTTTGTCTGTGCTTAGTAGTAATAGAAATTCCATGCTTATTATGCTCTTCCGTTTACTTGGTTAGGAACCTTCTACTTCAATGTGCTTATTTTGAAAGTGACATCTGTACAGTTTTTACGCTTGGATTTGGCTTGAACATATAAACTAAAACACAGGCTTAAAATGAGTAAAATTAGGAAGAATGGCACACACCACACCACACCACACCACGTAGTCAGAAAATGTTAAATCAAATGACAGAAGTAGTCAGAATTTTTAGAAAAACGACACCATTTCAGTACAAGTGCTAATTATGAACATTGGTTCATGAAACCAACCTCTGTTCTTCCAGGCATGATCGGCTTCCCCGCTAGCAATTCGGCCAGAATGCAACCAACACTCCACAAGTCAATTGCTTCACCATACTCTGTAGCACCCAGCAAAAGCTCAGGTGCCCTATACCACAGAGTCACAACACGACTAGTCAATGGCTGCTTTTTTTCAGGATCATATACTGTTGCAAGACCAAAATCTCCTATTTTAAGATTTCCATTGTTGTCAATAAGAAGATTTGAACCCTTGATGTCACGGTGCAGCACACCACGACTGTGGCAATGTTGAAGCCCACGAAGCAGTTGCTGCAGAAAACATTTTATCTGCAAAGCGAACAAGAAAATAATTGAATAACGTACAGCTAAAAAACTACAATTCATTTTTCCAAACAACTTAATAGCCATCCACTCTTCTTTTCCTTAACCACAATGTAACTTCAATTTATACTTTCAACAGAATGCATCTCAACTCTTGTTGGTTTAAAAATGAAAGAAAAGCTGCCTGTGACCAGAATCCACTCGAGGTAATCATCATTAACTCCTTAGAAATTTGTTAAAGAATAGTAGCTATTTAAAAGTACTTGTAAGTCTTAACATGCAGGGCATGTACCTGTGATTCAGTTAACTTCAAGCCATGTACAGTTGCTAGCCCAGCGAGGTCATGTTCCATGTATTCAAAAACAAGGTACAAACTGGTGGACGTTCTTGAAGTAACAAGACCCTCGAGCTTCATGACATTGGGATGGTCAAGTTGACGCATAATATAGATTTCTCTTGCCATGAACCGAACACTTTCCACATCTGCACTTGAAAACCGAACCTTCTTCAAAGCCACAATTTTACCAGTCTCAAGGTCACGAGCTTTATGCACACTGCTATAAGCCCCTTGTCCAACCTGCACACACAGCATTCACTTGCATGTAAACTAGTTGAAACATTTATAAAGAAAAAGGGTGGCATGAAGAAGTGATATTTTGAAACTAACTTGGCCTAATTTTTCAAAAGAGTCTGCCCGTCGAGGCACCCACCCTTTGATGGCTTCTGCTGCCACTGAAGATAACCAAATCGGCCATCCGGAATCAACTTGTTCTCCTGCAATATGCTGCACGCTAAGTATTCTGCTCATCATCGGCATTCTGTCATCTACACCACAACTCACTGTCACGCGCCTCTTCTGCTGGCCTTGTGTGGCATCTGAGTGGTTGCTTTTATCCTCTGCAGTCACTACGACAGACCCTCTAATTGCTTGTGTTGATGTGTCAACAATAAGGGGAACCGAACCATCCGTGCCTCTAGTACTATCTGACTGTGCAGTTGAGACAGAAGGAGCAACCAGTTGCACTGAAGACTTGTTCGACTCTTTTTCTCTTTCTTTCTCTTTCTCATACTCATCAACTTTGTCTTTGTTTTCTTTTGAGCAGATGCACCCCATATTCTTACAAAAGGGGTGTTGCTTTGTTTCTCCAATCAATCAACAAATCACTACCTTTTTGTGAAACTTGTTAAGCAACTGGGTAGTACACTTGTATTTTCTTGGGAACCCAGAAGCTCCCACCCTACTACAAAGGCGATCATGCCAGTGGAAAATCCACCAACAAAATCAATGTTGCAATGTGTCTATCAACTTACATCCCACGTAACAAGAATTCATAAAGAACCAATATAAAAAATTCTGCTGTGGATTTCAAAATTCAATGCTTTACACCTCTCCCAGATTGTAGAATCTTAAAACTCAAATGCCAAATGGCTTGAGATTTTGAAAATGAAGCGCTGTAAATGAATAAATGAACAGGAAATGTATAACCACGGAAGAACAAACAAAGAAGGGATTCCCCAATCAGAGGGTTGATAATTGAATCGAAAAGGAGGTAGATGAATAGGAATGAAGGAAAAGAGCTCAAATTCCTTGATCTTTGAATGGTGAAAAGGCTAAAACCATGTGGAGAAATTGCTGCAATGGAAACAGGGCACAACAACAATAACAACAACAATGCACGATGATTTTCTTGGTTCTTTGTTGAAATGGAAAGAAAAAGAAAATGTTTTTAATTGTTGTTATGTTGTGTACAGAGGAAAAGCTGGAGGTTGAAGGGAGGAAAGGACATTAACGGAAAATTGAAAAAAAGAAAAAAGAGTTTAATTGCTTATGAGGAAAATGGTTGGAGGGATGAAAACAGAGACGAGAGAGTTTCGGGTTGTGTGCGAGAAATGCGAATCACCCAGAATTCCACATTCAACGTCGCTGGAATGTTTCCATTAATTTAACATATTGTTAAACCAACTTTAACACCGAATTAACGTTAAAACATAACATCTAAGGTTTAAATATATTTTTGTTTCTGTTTTTTATCTAATAAGGCTCATTTCAACGTAACATGTCTATACTACTTGATAATATTCCATATTTTGTTTTCAATTTTATTTTTTAAATTAAAATATATTTTTTATCAATTTTAAATTTTAAGTTATTTTTTTTTAATTTAACTCTTTTTTCTTAAATTTATTTATTTTAATTAAAACAATTATTATTTTAAAAAATTATCTAAAAAATAAACATTACAAACATTGAAATTGTAGAAATTATTTAATTTTACTTTAATAATAAAAAAATATTATTTTTTGTTATTATAATTATTTTAAAGTTTAACAAATTTAACCAGAATAAAATAAATATATAGTCTTAAAAGCTATTATTGCGCCTTTTTAATACAATAATAATGGTAACATTGTTTTCGTTAGATTCAAGTGAAATTTTTATTTGAATGGATTAAAACAAAAAGGAAAAAAACTTCATATTAATAGTATATATATATATATATATATATTTCTTTTTATTATAAATGTGAAAAATAAAGTCAATTAGTGGACTTTTATTTTTTTTATTGTGAATCAGGGAAGACATGTGTTTACATTTTGTTTTTAGGATAGTAAAAAATAATAAATATTATTGTTATAATTACAGAAATAAAATAATTTCTATTTATTTTATATGTTTAAATTTAAAAAAAAATTGTAAAAAGAAAAAGTGGTTAAACTTAGAGAAATAATTATTAAAAAGTAAATTTAAAAGAAATATTATTTAAAAAGTGAAATTGAAAAATAAATATGAATATAGATGAAACGATATTGAAGAAAAAAAGTTTGTCTAATTCTTTGAGGTTTGGATTATAAAAATGTAACAGTTTTTTTAGTGACTTATTTGTTGACAGGAAAATAACCTGCTGGTAAATATATATATATATATATATATATATATATATATATATATATATATATATTTAATTTATATGATCTATTTCTTAATAACTTTTATCGTATTCATGCATATATTGAAAAGATTCGCACGTGCATAAAAAATTGAGAAAGGATAAGAACGACAAATAAAGTTCCTTAACCAATAAAATACATTCATTTAATTATATTTATTTTACTTTTTGATATAAAATTCTAACACACAACATTATATTATTGTAATAGATTGTAAAATATAAATGAAAGAAAAAGATAAGTATAAATAAAACAAATATAATTAAATAGTAACTGCTTATCCTTGAATGTGGCACGCTCTCAGAGGGTTTCAGAGTAAGGAAAGCCCAAAGGAAAGAGATAGATGGAAGGAAGTATCCGCTGCTCTGCTAACTATGTTCCGCTCACTCCGATCACCTTCTTGGAACGCGCCGCCGTCGTTTACCGCCACAGACCTTCTGTCGTCTTCGGCGACGTTACCTACACGTGGCAACAGACCCACCAGCGCTGCGTCAAACTCGCTTCTTCCATTTCTCAACTCGGTGTCGGTCTTGCTTCCGGCGATGTGGTTTGTTTCTTTCGCTCCCTACCCTTTACCTCAATTTCACTCTTTTCTTTGGATAAAAAGTCAAACTTTTTTTTTTGTTTGGTTTGATTCGTTCGGTTTTAGTGGAACATGATGCATATCGAACTAGTTTTGATTGTTTAAGCTTGATCAGGTTGCTGTATTGGCCCCTAATGTTCCAGCAATGTATGAGCTACATTTTGCTGTTCCGATGTCAGGGGCTGTTCTCTGCACCCTAAATACACGTCACGATTCTGTAATGGTTTCGTTGTTGCTAAAACATTCTGAGGCTAAACTTATTTTTGTTGATTATGAATTACTCGATATTGCTAGGGGAGCACTTCAAATCCTTTCAAAAACCACGACCAATCTTCCCCAGTTGGTCTTAATTTTGGAGTGTGGTGACCGATCACCTCTCCATGCTAGCAACGATTTGATATATGAGGATCTTATAGAAAGAGGGGACCTTGGATTCGAGGTGAGGAGGCCAAAAGATGAATGGGATCCAATCTCACTGAATTACACTTCTGGGACTACATCCAACCCCAAAGGTGTGATCTATAGTCACAGAGGTGCCTATCTTAATTCTCTTGCTACTGTTCTGCTTAACGAGATGAAGTCTATGCCGGTGTACCTGTGGTGTGTTCCCATGTTTCATTGCAATGGTTGGTGCCTCCCTTGGGCAATTGCTGTTCAAGGTGGCACAAATGTCTGCCAAAGAAAAGTGACTGCCGAAGGGATATTTGGCAATATTTTTAGGCACAAGGTTACCCACATGTCAGGTGCACCCACGGTTTTAAACATGATAATCAATTCACCTCCTGAAGTGCGGAAGCCACTTTCTGGGAAGGTGGAAGTGATGACAGGTGGTGCACCCCCTCCGCCGGATGTGATCTTTCGGATGGAAGAGCTAGGATTTGGTGTGACTCATTCCTATGGTTTGACAGAGACTTATGGTCCAGCGTCAATTTGTGCATGGAAACAAGAATGGAACAATCTGTCTCGAGTTGCGCAAGCAAAACTCAAGGCCCGACAAGGAGTGGCTCATGTTGGATTGGAAGATCTAGATATTAAAGATCCCGAAACAATGAAGAGTGTACCGGCCGATGCAAAAACAATCGGTGAGGTGATGTTCAGGGGCAACACTATCATGAATGGTTATCTGAAAGATTTGGAAGCAACAGAAGAAGCATTTAAAGGTGGATGGTTTCGGAGTGGTGATTTGGGAGTGAAGCATCCTGATGGATACATTGAGCTTAAGGATCGGTCAAAGGACATCATAATCTCTGGGGGAGAAAATATCAGCACAATTGAGTTAGAAGGAGTGATTTTCAGTCATCCAGCAGTTCTTGAAGCAGCTGTTGTTGGGAGACCTGATGATCATTGGGGAGAGACACCTTGTGCATTTGTGAAACTCAAGGAGGGTTGCACTGCTACAGAAGAGGAGATTATCCAATTTTGTCGGAATCTTTTGCCTCATTATATGGCTCCTCGAACTGTGGTGTTTGCTGATCTGCCAAAGACATCAACTGGCAAGACACAGAAATTTGTTCTGAGAGAGAAGGCAAGGGCTTTGGGAGGCTTGACTAAGAAAACTAGCCGTTTGTAAACCATGATAATTCTGAAACTTGAATGTGATGTTTCTTAATTCTTGTGCTTTCAGAATGTGATGCTTATTTATACATAAAATAAAAGTTTAATTGTTTTGTTTGTTGCTATTTTCAGTGTGTCAATTTAGTTCTATTTTTTAAAAAGTATCAATTTCATCTCCGTTTTATCTCTATACGCACTTATTTTACATTTGTTCTTCCCTTTCACTCACATTTTATCAATTTCTCACATCATCTCATTCTTCCCACATTTTCTTCACCAAAGGGAACTGACATTAAGTTCAAGATTTTCAAGATTTCTTCTCATTTAAGACAATCAAATCTTCCTCTCGTTGTGTCATGTAAAATCCAAGAAAGCGAAGTGGTCATAAAAATCATAGATCTTGAGGATCTTGTAGTGGTGACATGCACTTATCTTGGTCCAAACGGAATTGAGAGCAAAAAATTTGCCTTTTTATTATTTGTCGCGGTGGAGAAAAGTTGTGTGTTTTCTTAGGTTTGGAAAGAAAAAGAAAGGGTTGGGTTTGACTATGTGCGCGTGGCTGCAAAAAGGATTTTATGAATGACTCTAATAACACCAAATCTAACAATGCTAGCTGTGAAAGAAGAAAAGGAGAAAAGGGACAGTGTTGCCAATGCGAACAATGTCTCAAGTAACAGATAACATCGACAAGATTGGAAGGAGGTGAGGACAATGGCGGTTGTAACATTGCAATGTTATCTTGGATTCATGCTGGTATTTTTGTAGTGGTGTTTGATGCTTGAAGTCGTTGGCCATAGTTCCTTGGAGCTCCTGTTCCGCTTTAACACGAAGGTAGTAGTGGAGAAGGCCCTTTGGAAGTCGATAATTTTTTAAAATCCTAATCCCCAATTTTCACATTAGAAAGATCCAGCCCTAATGGATCATATGTTGTAAATGTCTTTATCACTACACTTCTTTTCTACATCACCACACAATTAACGGGTGGTTCGACCAAGTCATAGCCCTTACTCGAGCCCAGTAATTTTAGTCAAGAAGAAAGATGGAAACTCGCTCCCCGCCTTCCACCGTTCGGCTTGGTCGCTCCCTGTCTTCTACCGTTTGACCTGATCTCTCCCCATCTTCCACCGTTCGGTCCCCTTCTCTCACCGTTTGGTTCCCTTCTCCTTCTATACTTTCTCCTCTCATATACTTTCCAACCCCTAACATTATCCCTACCTTAGATCGTAACACATCCAGACTTAAATATCTTGCCCACGTAAGTGATAGGTATGTGTCTTTATTTTCACTCAAGTCATTGACGATATCAATATCCGGCAAAAACAACTACTTGCAAGTGTAACAAGTTACTTTAGCAACCAAGCCTTTGTTTGTTTTACTTGGACTATACTAATTACGCACCAAAACAACGTACATGGAGTTGAATAGCTAATTTCAAATATACACTATTGTCTTTTCTTTACATAATTGTAAATGTGGATTGCTGAACCATTAGATTTCTGTTTTTGACCTCACATTTTTTTATGTTATCCTCTCTCAGACTTGTTGAACTTGATTTTCTTTAATCCCAAAAAAAAGGTTTATATAGGCTTTGTAGACTGGAAGTGTCTGTGATAGATTGAGCATCAACTCAGGATTATTTTGTTGCCAGTTTTGCAGCGGCAGTTGCCGAAATGCTTGTGCAGAGTACATTGAGCGATCTTTTCTTACTTCCTGCTCTTCCATGGGAGAAATGGCCAAATGGCTCCTTGAAAGGCTTGAAGGCTCGTGGAGGAACAACAGTTAACATATGCTGGAGAGAAGGGGATCTTCAGGAGTTTGGTGTATGGTCCGAGGACCAAACAAGAACAACTCTGAGAAAAAGAATACATAGGAAATTTTATTTTTTGTGAAGAAATCGATTTTTGTTTCCATCAGTTTTTCAAAAGTTGATAAATTTTTCAAAAAGATCTTTTTTCTCTTAAGATGTCTAGAATTTGAATGGCATTGTGAACTAAAATTTAATCTCAACTAAAATCTAATATTTCTATTTATGTTCATTGGATTAATAATTGAAGAAAATAACAAGGCCAATGACAGACAATAAATACCTAAATTAATTATAAATGTTAGTCCAAAGGGAAATTTGATATAAAGGTATGAAAAGCAATGATGACCCATTACATTACCGAATGGAGATCTGATATAAGGCATGAAAAGCATTGATGGCCCATTACATTAACTAATTTTCAAGCAGGGTATAGTTTTCCATCATTTTGAACCCAATGATGTTTGTGGTTTTCACACTTTCTTCGGCTTGTACAGTCTAAGTAAAATTTGATTAATTAATGGACAAATTAAGCATGTGCTTATAAAGAAATTGTGTTAAAAGTTAGATGTACAAATCTATGTGTTTATGTTTGTATATAGTCATATTCAACTTCAACACCTTTCGTATAAGTAACATATAATTGGGGATGTAAAACTTCCTCATGTTTGTTTGTGCTACTCAGATGTTTAGTTATAGTAATTTGGAATTGGAAAACTCCCTCCTCTAATCATGAGAGCAACTGCTGTCATCATATGCAAGTTACTTTCAGTGGAACTACCAAGAAAGAAGGGACAACACAAACAACAATTACTGCCCTGATAATTCCATCATAAAGTGGTATACGCAAAAGTCAACTAAGTTCTCTTACGAAGACATTTCACTATTGCTTCATCAATAAGCTCAAGAGTATTTTCCCATTTCCTTTCTTCATAGTTTGCATCAACATAAATATCATATATCTCTTTTTTTGCAACAAAGCCTTGAGTTCTCATCTCAAATAGCTTCTTAGCCTCCACAAATATCTTTTTCTTACAGAAAGCTTTTATAAGAGCATTATAGGAAGTAGCAGTTAGACTAAATCCCGTTTCAACCATTTCTTTATGCAAAAACCATGCATCTTTCATATTTCTACCTTTACAACGCCCTTTAATCAAAACATTATAGGAATTATTGTCAGGTATCACTCCTTGAGCATACATCTTCTTATAAATCTCTGTTATAACACACATGTTATTTCTAATATAGTATTGCTTCAAGAGAAAATTGAATGTTGTGGCATTTGGCCTTGTACCTTTTTTGAAAATCCATTTAGTTACCCTTTCACCATCTTCAACCATCCCTGACAAGCAAAACCCAATCATTAGCACATTGAATGCAACAATTGTAGGCTGAAGTTTTAAATCAAGCATAACCCACAACATTTAGAGTGCCTTGGCCATTTCACTCATCTTACAATAAGCGTCCGTGTGTGTAGTATATGTAATAGGGTCAGGATAAAACCTTGCCAGATCCATTTCTTACATAATTTTTATGGCTTGGTCTATATTTCCTACCTTACAAAGACCATTGATTAGTGCATTATATGTGCAGACATTTGGTGGAAGGCCCTTCTCATACATTTAAAGAAGTTCATTTGCTATATCTACCTCACCACGTTTACACAAGAAATCAACCAATGTTGTACAAGTGACAACATTAGGAGTCAAACACTTCTCAACCATTTGGTTGTGAAGAGAGAATGCATCTTTCATTTCTCCAGCCTTGCAATACCCATGTATAAGAGCAGTATAAGTAACTTCATCTGATTCCAACCTTTTTCTAAACATTTCACTAAACAGTTGTAGTGCCTCCACAACCTTTCCAGCTTCACCAAGCCCATTAATCACGGAAGTATAAGTCACAAAATCAAGAACTATTTTCTTATGTCTCATTTCATCAAACTATTTCTATTCAGGTAAAACATTCCCAGACTTGCCGAACCCACTGATGAGAGTTATATACACAACTTTATCAGGAAAAATCCTCTGGTTTATCATCTCCCTCAGGACTTGCTCTGCTTCAACTACCCTGCGAGTCTTAGAAAGAAGGGAAATTACGCTATTGTATGTGTATTGATTTAGCTTACACCCTTTTCCCTACAAATCTTCCACGGCTTTAAGACATGGTATTCCAACAAACACCCACTTCTGGATCCTTTCTGAACACCTTAATTGCCATCTTTTTCCCATCAAAACTGTTAGATAGCCTAGCTAGAAACAAATCACAAGAATCTGCAGAAACAAGAACACGTAATTTACTAATTTATAAACAGTTTCTGAGCCTATAGAAGCCACCCTGCTTCAACAAGAACTTGGAACAACACATCAAACACAAAGGGATGTGCACCCGTCCTTGTAATTGTAAATCAACCTCTTAGTAAATTGAGCAAACGAGTTACCAACATCCAATTGAGGCTTTTCCCAGAACTCAAAAACCAGCCTGTGAGCCGGTATCAAGTACGTAAAAACCATAACAATCTGAAAAACAATGCAAAGGACTTCCAAACAAGAGTCCCATCGTAGGCACATCTAGTTAAAGAAATCCAACACCAGTTTATAATCCTCCTTGATGTTCATAAGAATGCACAACCAACTCATTTTTACAAAATGAATAAATATGAAGTCAAATCATAGTCTCTTCTACTTTAGCCCAACAAACCATCAAAAGATACACAAAGCATTCATCAACTGCCCGAATAACAAGGGGCAACACAATTTTCTATTGTGAACATAGAAAGTCAAAGTGCAATTTGACAACTCTATTTATGATGGAACAACTAAAAAATACCATATGGGATTTGCACAGTGAAATAGGGAAATCAAAGTGCAATTCGATAATTCCAGGAGGGACAATTCAAAATAAAAACTTATTGAATTTACACTGTGAACCAAAAAAATCAAAGTATTGTTCGACTGTTCCATTTAGGATGTATGCCTACCTCAGGTTATAGTGGTTTCAAAATTGCAGTCACACCATCATCAGCTCAGATTTATAGAATGAATAAAACAATATATCTGCAATCTGTCAAATTCATACAAAGCTCAAAACCAATCTTTGTCCCCTATAAATTCAATATAAAACCCACTTCCAATCCGTCAATTCCAAATAAAATGAAGCTCAAACCATTTGTGCGATAATTAAAAAATCTCATATCACAAAGTGATTCAAAGTTTTAGCTCAGATACTCATTCAATATCTTGACTATGGTTAAATAATTCAAATCATGCTCCCACAGTCTGAATGTGGATGCACACCCATGTTACACATCTAATATTCCACTTGTAATCTCTCACTAGCATTCGGGCTCAAGAAATAGTCACATGCATAATAAAGCATTCATCTTGCAACTGTATTATAAGCAACAACTCATATATAAGCCTTTGAAATTTTCATTGGGAATAGAACTAATTTTATACAAAAATCAAGGCACGATATCAAATTAAGTTGGAGGAATAATATGAACTCAAGTTATACAAATTTTAAAATTGAAGGCACAATATCAAAACCAAGGATTAAAATTGGAGGAACATTATTATCTCATGTTTATCGTTTGCAAAAAACAATATATTTGTATGCTATCAAATCCATACAAGGCTCATAAATAATCTTTGTTACCTGTGCTCAATACAAAAATCTTCATGATATATTTCAACAAGACAACTTTGGCATATGCATGTGCAATATTTACAAAGTACAAAAATCTTAAACCACACTCAATCAATTCAATTTAGGATATCCACATGACATAATTTCATTTGGGCTTTTCGACCAACACCAGATAACAAAATTTGAAGTACAACCCCAAATCAAAATTAAATTCGATATGAAAAATAAATTTCAATTTCGTAAATTCAATAAAGGGCTGAAAAACCAACATTTAATCCCTCATTGGATAAAAAGAGCATATGCTAACAACATTATAAAAGACAACTTAGATATAGCCATTCCAAAATTCCAAAAATAGTCAAAAGTTGTAAATTAAATTTTGAATGCACGCCCAACTCATTTACAAAATGAATAAATTTGAAGTCAAATTATAATCCAGAATAAAAACTGTCTGGCTAGCAACTCCAAATTTTCTACTATGAACAAAGAAAGTCTAAGTGCACTTTGACAAATCTATTTATGATGGGACAACTCAAAATATACCCATATGGAATTTGCACAATGTAACAAGAAAATTAATGTGTAATTCGAGAATTCCAAGTGAGACAACTCAAAATATACTATTATTGAACTTTCACTGTGAATTATAAAATCAAAGTTATTTGACCGACCCATAAAGTTATAAGGCTCTCCAATTTGCAGCCACACCATTAACTCAAATTTATAGAGTGAATAAAACAATTTTTCTTTAAGCTATCAAATTCATATGAAGCTCAAAATCAATCTTTGTTACCCATAAGTTCAATATAAAGCCCAATTATTATATGTCAATTCCACACAAGATGAGGCTCACAAACCATCATTGTTTCCGGTGATAATTAAAAATTCCACATCGCAGAAAACAATTCAAAGTGTGAACTTAGATATACTCATCCACTGTCTTGCACTTTGACAAATCTATTTATGATGGGACAACTAAAAATATACCTATATGGAACTTGCACAGTGAAACAAGAATTCATGTGTTTAAAATTGATATGTAATACACATTTATCATATCTGAGACATTAAATTGACATGAGCAACATGATATAAACACAGAAAAGTTATAGAGAAACATAAATGTGTTTTAAAAACTAACTTTCCTGCATAACACATTTCTTTGTTCCACTTCTCTTTCCTTTTTGATTCTTCTCACCACAAAGATTATTCTCAATCTAATCCTAAGATCAAGAATTCATAACTAATTCAAAAATTGGAGGCACAATATTTACTCAGATTTAAAATCTGAGGGACCTTCTCATCTTAGTTTTACATTGTGCATAAAACAATATATCTTTAGGCCGTTAAGTCTTTCTAAGGCTCAAAAACATATTTGTAACCAATAACTCATATAAGCATAAAAAATTTGCATTGTCAATAAAAGGAATCTTAAGAGATACCACAATTTGTAACCAAGGTTAATCCCTGAAAGCTTATTGTAATAAAAAAAAGACAAACTTTCAATCTAATCTAACAATACAAAAAGCCATGTCGTCGAAAAGAATTGTGGCAAAAGAGTCAATGTTACCCGGCTTGAAGATGGTACAACACAGAAGAAGGCTAAACCAAAAGGACTGCACATAAAAGGAGGTTGGAACTGCAAATAGGCAACATGATCATCAAAAAGGCTGTAGCAGCACAATAATCAGCAAAAATTTCAACAGGCTAGTGTTATAAACAGATAAAAATAAACCAAAATAGACAATTAAAAAATCAATTAGTTAGAATGAATAATCCTGAATTTCTAACACATGTAATAAATATTTATCATTTCTCATGCATTACACTGACATGGGCAACATAATATATACACCAAACAGTTATAGAGAAACATAAATGTGCTTTAAAAATAAACTTTCCTGAAGAACAAAATTTTTTGTTCCACTACTCATTCCTGTTTTATTCTTCCCAACACAATGGTTCTTCTCAATAACCCAATTCTAAGATCAAGAATTGATAACTAATTCATAAAATTTAAGGCACAATTTAACCACAATTTGTATATCCTTCCCACTTTACAAAGTAATGAAACCTTTAGTTTCATAGTGCACAAAATTTCCTCCCACAATTTGTATATCCTTCTCACATTACAAGCATATACTTCATTAATATAACTTGTAGAAGTGACTGTCACAAACTCACACATTCCAATAATACGTCATTAATAATCCAGCAAACCAGTTTAGCCAGCCACGCCAGCCACAAATTAATGAGAAAAAAAATAATGTAAGCGTAAGTAATGACCCTTTAGTTTCACAGTGCAGAGAATTTCCTCCCACAATTTGTTATATCCTTCCCACATTACAAAGTAATGAAAACTTTAGTTTCACAGTGCACAAAATTTCCTCCCACAATTTGTATATCCTTCCCACATTACAAAGTAACGAAACCTTTAGTTTCACAGTGCACAAATTTTCTCCCACAATTTGTATATCCTTCCCACATTACAAAGTAACGAAACCTTTAGTTTCACAGTGCACAAAATTTCCTCCCACAATTTGTATATCCTTCCCACATTACAAAGTAATGAAACCTTTAGTTTCATAGTGCACCAAAATTTCCTCCCACAATTTGTATATCCTTCCCACATTACAAAGTAATTGAAACCTTTGGTTTCACATTGCAGAGAATTTCCCCACAATTTGTATATCCTTCCCACATTACAAAGTAATGAAACCTTTAGTTCCACAGTGCACAAAAATTCCTCCCACAATTTGTACATCCTTCCCACATTACAAAGTAACGAAACCTTTAGTTTCACAGTGCACAAAATTTCCTCCCCACAATTTGTATATCCTTCCCCATTAACAAAGTAATGAAACCTTTTAGTTTCACAGTGCACAAACATTTCCTCCCACAATTTGTATATCCTTCCCACATTACAAAGTAATGAAACCTTTAGTTCCACAGTGCACACAAATTTCCTCCCACAATTTGTATATCCTTCCCACATTACAAAGTAACGAAACCTTTAGTTTCAAGTGCACAAAAATTTCCTCCCACAATTTGTATTAACCTTCCCACATTACAAAGTAATTAAACCTTTAGTTTCATAGTGCGCACAAATTTCCTCCCACAATTTGTATATCCTTCCCACATTACAAAGTAATGAACCTTTGGTTTCACAGTACACAAAATTTCCTCCCACAATTGTATATCTTTCCCCCATTACAGTTATAACTCCATTAATAAACTGTACAAGTGATTGTCACAACCTCCACATTCCAATAACATGTCATTAATATCCACCAAACAAGTTTAGTCAGCCACAAATTATCGTAGAAAAAAAAATAATGTAAGTGTAAGTAATCAAACATTTACCTTCACAGTGCACAGGATTTCCTCCCACAATTCATACTTGCCTTCCCTTTAACCCGTCCATGAATTAAATAGAAGACACACAGAGGATAAGAAATATTCATAAATTTAAACTACATAAACCAGTGAAAAAACTCTCGTAACAGGCTTCTTTAGATGCAAGAGTTACACAAATTAATCCAAACACCAATGTAAAGAAACAAATCACATAGAAACAAATCACGATTCAAACCTTGTGTTTATTGATGATGCTTAGGTTAGCTTGTTCTGAGCCATTCCAACTACTCTTCAACTATTTTAATCACATGTCCGCAAAAGAAATCCCAAACCTGGAAACGACATGAAAAGGAATTTTAATAAAGAGGAACTACTTATAGAAGAGAACCCACAGAAACAAATGAAGAAACTCTAATAAACTCGATGTACACGATACTAATCTTGAGGTTATTACCATTTAAATGAAGGAATGACTTGTAAATTCGTCCTTTTAATTTGCTGCCCAAAAAATATATATATATAATATATATTATATATATATGTATTTATATATATATATTCAGAATGTTAAACAAGAATATTATAGTTTGCAAGAACGAGTTCAAAATTCGATTATCAATACATGAAATGAAACAAGACTACAAAATAAAGGTTTGTAATAAAAAAAATGAAGTCAACCCTGAATGTTGGCTAATTACCACTAATAAAATGAATGGAATGTTCAAGATTCATCTTTTCAAACACCTAAGAAAATAAAAAATAATTATCAGAACTTCAAATCAGAAGTTACAATCGACCTAAGAAAGTGAGAAGAAAAGGACTCTATGAAAACGAAATGTCCACATGATAAATTATCAAGAACCGGATTGCTAATTACCACCACTAAAATTCAAACTTTATATAACTTTCAAACAAAGAATCAAACCGAACCCCCATGTCCCATTTTCATTGTGCACTAGTTATACAACAAATCCAACACCATGGCAAAGATATCACACAACAAATTCATCAAACACCCATTGCAAAGATATCACATTCAATCCATTGTACTGGTGAATAGTCTGAGACATTAAATAACGAAGAAAATCCCATCCAAAAAATTAAGTTAGAGGTATCTACACATTAATAACCTCTCGTTTCAACAACTATTTAATCAGATGTCTGCAAAAGAAATGTAATATCGACAACAAGATGAAAAGGAATTCTAGATAAGGAGGAACTACTACTAATAGAAAAAGACATATAAAAAAGTATGTAAATTTGACTCAAAAATCAATGGGAAACTCTCACAATACTCGATGAGTTGTACAATGTACACGACACTAGATCCTAAAGCTCATAACATACACGATACCAATCTTGAAGCTTATTACCACTAAAATTAAAGGAATGACTCTAAGATTCGTCCTTTTAATTTCTATCCAAGGAAATACAAAAAGGAAATTTTCAGAACCTAAAAACATTGATTCATGCAAGAACATTGATGTTTTGTAGAACAAGTTCAAAATTCAATTGTCAATATCGGAAACGAAACAAAACAACAAAATAAAGGTTTGTAATAAAAAAATTGAAGTCAACCCTGAATGTTGGCTAATACCACTAACAAATGAATGGAATGTTAAAGATTCGCTTTTCAAAACACCCAAGAAAATAAAAAATTAATTGATCAGAACATCAAAACAAAATGGGATAGTCAAAATCACAAAATTGAACAATCAACCCATAAAAGTGAAGAGAGAAAAGGATTCTATGAAAACGAAAAGTCCACATATAAATTATCAGAACCGTTGCTATTACCACTACTAAAATTCAACGAACTTTCAAACAAAGAACAAATCTAAACCCCACATGTCCCATATTCATTGTGCACTACGTTATAACACAAATTCCAATCACCACTGCAAATAATATATCACAATTCAATCCATCTGTACGGTGAAGAAGTCCGAGACATTAAATAATAGAAGAAAATCATCATCCAAAAATTAGGTTAGATTATCCTACACCATTCTAACCTCTTTTCATACTATTTTAATCAAATGCCTGCAAAAGAATTCTCATATCTGGCAACAAGATGAAAAGGAATTCTGATAAGGGCTATTACTAATAGAAAAAAACATCTAAGATCCGTCTTTTTAATTTGCTACCCAAGAAAATACAGAAACAAAAATATTCAGAATGTCAAAATATTAATGTCTTGCAAGAACATTGATGTTTTGCAAGAACCAGTTCAAAATTCAATTGTCAATACACGAAACAAAACAAGACAACAAAATATAGCTTTGTAATAAAAAAAGTCAACCCAAAATGCTCTCTAATTACCACTAACAAAATGAATGGAATGTTCAAGATTCATATTTTCAAACAGCTAAGAAAATAAAATTTAAGTATCAGAACTTCAAAACAGAAGTGGGATAATCAAGAATCACAAAAGTGAAGAGAGAAAACGACCCCATAAAAACGAAAAGTTCACATGATAAACTATCAAGAACCGGTTGTTAATTACCACTACTAAAATTCAACTTTATAGAACTTTCAAATAAAGAATCAAAGCACAACCCCACATGTCCATATTCATTGTGCACTACGTTACACAACAAATCCAAACACCATTGCAAAAATATCACAATTCAATCCATGTGTACGGTGAAGAAGTCGAAGACATTAAAAAACAAAAGAAAATCATCATCTAAAAAATTAGGTTAGATTATCCTACACCATTCTAACCTCTTTTCAACTATTTTAACCAAATGTCTACAAAAGAAATCTCAGACCTGGCAACAAGATGAAAAGGAATTCTCATAAGGAGGAACTACAAATAGAAAAAGACATAAAGAAATAATATGTAAATTTGACTCAAAAATCAATAGGGAAACTCTCATAAACTCGATGAGATGTACAATTTTACACGATACTAATCTTGAGCATATTACCACTAAAAAGCCTATAACATTCACGATACTAATCTTGAGCTTATTACCACTAAAATGAAAGGAATGACTCTAGGATCCGT